CTGATTTTCTTTTTCAGCCCAAGCCCGTAAGACCCAAAAACAACAGCTTGAAATATTTAGACCAAACAAACTCCCCGGCCCATTTCCAAAATTGGGCTTCACTACTTGATCGTAATCAAACATCTTAGTAGAGCTAAGGCCATATTTTCTTGTAGAAAGCATCCCGGTGCATTCAGTTTGTGGGATTTGGATTTGAATCTCATGTTACATACAAACATTATAATGTTATCCCACTTAACTCGGGATTAAAATAAATCTGATTTTCCCTAAAAGGTATTTAAATACTACAATATCATAATTATAATAAAACTTATTATTACTTGGATAGAGTTTGTTAAAAAAAAATTTGTTGTTATATAGAGGACGAACCTAGAACAACGATAAAATTGTTCTTAATGAATGAAATGTCGCGCGTTCAAATACTTGAAATTTAGAGAAAGAGAAATGAAAAGAAATGAAAAAGAAAAATGAGTCATATAAAGGAAATCTTCCCTTTGATTTTCATCCTAGATGTAAAGAACTCAATCCAATTCATCTCTGTTTTGCTTATTACCTTTTTATTTCCTTGTCAGAATTGGCATCTTTCTATATAAACTTTTTTTTTTATACATTCTATCTTAAACTTTTGGCTGTTAAAGGTTTACTTATTCAAACTTCAATACAACTTTCATTTTAATTGAAATAAAATATATGATTTTTCACTCGAGACAAATAACAATTTACTTATTTGATAATGCTGATGACATACTGCGAGAGAAATGCAACCATTTGCTTTGTTATATGTAGTAACACTAGTAATCTTATGTAAATGGCATTACTCAAATAACTATGTCTAATCAATCGAGAAGTCATTTTCTTTTTGCTTTCATTGTCTTCTCATAACAAATAGAAGGTATGCATTGTACTAAAAAAACAAAAAAAATAGAAGGTATGCATAATAATGTTTTTCAGAGATACATATATGCCAACTATTTTGGAGTTTCAGTAATCATATTTAGTGCTAGTAAGTAATGGGGTAGGTGGAATCAAATTGGAAGCTTCCTTATTTGTAGAGAGGCCCCAAAACCATTTGTGTCGTATGTTTATGTAGAGATAAAAATTTGGAATGGTACCTAGTATCATCTTGTAATCTCTGAGTCAAGTATCTGGACTAATGGAGAATTGGAGCATAAATTAAGCTTCACTTTGAACTAGAGTGATTGAGTTAGGGATGAGTTATTCGGTTTTACCTCCTTAATGCTTCATTAATTAATATAAGATAAAATAATAATTTAATTCTCACTTAAGCATTAAATGCATCACACCACATCCCTAAAATAATGGTTCCTGCACCAAACACGGCATGATCCTCATTATCGAGATTCATCATACTCATGACACCAACACCTACCATATAAGACACCTCATATGTATGTATTTTTTTCAGTGAACCCAGACCATGTGGTCCTTCCATTAAAAAATTGACACTTGGATATAATTTTTTTTTTCTCTCTTTTATACACACTTCATAAAAAAGGCCCAATTTTGATTGGCCTGAACCTTTGAGTGAGTAGTAGTGGTCTGGGAACAAGCATTGAAAATGTTTTCCATATGTACATGCAAAGGGTTGAATTCTTGAAAACTAGAGCACATACAACCAAAACTCACTGGTAACATCCACTCTCACGGAGAACTCATTGATAATTCTGATACTTGTCTCTTAGAAAGGCACTGATTCCTTACATCAAGATCTAAGTAAATAACTAGATGAACGGTCAATCTGATTGTATATCTAATTTTCTCATCTTATACCTAAGAACAATTGGTGAGTGAGTGACAAGCTTTGTGGGATGAGCTATTGTTATGTCTAGCTTGGAGAGATTAGGAGAATCAAATCATACTTGGGTTTGATAGTGAAATGTTTCATCTTGGTTGTGGACGAGATGTAAGTTCCACATGCATCAAATCGACTACGCAAGCTCTCTCTTCCCTTATATTTTTAGTCTATTGCATGCTTGCTTAATATGACCGGCTGAGTGTTAGTATTAAAGTTTCTATTCACTTGCCATCAAATTTCTCATGCTTATTTGGATTTATGTTTATGCTCATTGCATGCCTATCTTAATAGTCGATTGCATGTCTGTTAAAGTTTCTAGTTACCTTTAAATATCCAACAATTACATAATTAAAATATCTTTATTCGAAATAAATAAAAATAATACCATTGAATAAAGCACAAGCGATAACAAAAAGTATTACACAGATCCAATAACAAATAGTAAAATCACAACGTACTTCATATAAATAATATTAAAAACACTTTTAACTTCACGCAAGAAAAACAACATTACAATTTCGAAACACAAATCTACAAGCATTATTAATTTAATATAATTATTATTTATTTAAATTATATCAGGGTCATTAAATTTATTTAAAAATATTATGTAGAAGTCGCACTGCTGTAAACTTATACCTATTTGGATGACCCAATTTATTAGTCATATGAACACAAATGAGATGAATGACCAAGAATGAGTATAAAACTTTGGTCGGTTCAATAGATCCTGGATTTCACTACACACAATTGAGTCTGATTCAATTGGGATGAGCTTTGATGCGGGATACTCTTGATGGTTGTACTAGTGTTTGAGATCTTTACTTGATCGTGAGTCTGTGACAGATGGTCAAAGGTACCTGTAAAACACTCTAACACTCAAGTTAGTATTTGATCAATGAATTTAAGTTATAATTGAGAAGATGATCCTATATGAACTTTTAGCCTTCTTTACATAGTGATGGCAAACCTACTTATATCATTTTAATATGATATTTAATCTTAACGCTAGACTCAAGCTCCTTTTGTAGTCTATCTTATTTACAACATGCCTATATCAGGCCTAGAGATGGCAAAACGAGCTACCCGCCCCGCCCAGTTTGAGCGGATTGCCAGCCAAGCCTGTGACATTTTACACTAAAAAAAAAATTAAAAATTCAGCCTGGGTGGGCTGGCAGACTTGACGAGCGGCGAGTTTAAAAAACTCAGCCCGTCCCACCCGGTTTGACAGGTGGGTCGAGCTTATTTTGCCATCTCTACTTAGGCCTAGCTAAAATAATCCTTCCGCCATTGTCTATTAAAAAAATTTACGAGCTTTGAGTTGTTGTTGTTCTAATTTGTAGGATAATATATACACAGCATGAACACGTTTTCATAAATCTTTATTCTTGCACTTGTTCTCATCTTGCTTTAGTATACTATATATTCATATCAAAATTTAATTAGACTTAAAATCTAAATTAAATTTATTCAAATATGGAAAATGTTATACTTACTATCTATTTTTCTTATTATTTATTATTATTAAATCTTAACCGTTGATTTTCGTCAATCTTACGGTTGTCATTTATTGTAAATTAATAATTAATTAATAAGTATGTTCTCATTTATCTAACTGTTGCCCATTCTGCCCTGATAAGGTCGAGAGCCATCTGCATGCTTTCAGGGATTGTGACAAGGCTGGAAAGATTTGGCTTCTTCCCATGTTTAAGCCTCTCCCATCAGGCTTTTTTACCTCAGACTCCTGGAGTGAGTGGCTATCCTTTAATTTAAACTTATGCAATCGGCCAACTAGAGATTGGAGAGATCCTTTCTTTACTGTGTGTAATTCCTTGTGGACTTGGAGGAATAGAGAACTCCATGAAGAGGGGTATAAGAGACCTGAGCATCCTTCTACTATCATAGCTGGCGTTTTGGAGGATTTAAGGTACTGCAAGTTCAAAAACAAAAAAGGTTTGATTAAAAACTCCCCCTCCCCTTCCCCCTCTTCTTGGACTGCCCCAGACCAAGGGTTCCTTAAACTTAATGTTGATGGTGCTGTGATTGAAGATAAGGCTGCTTGTGGGGGTCTTTTGAGGGATTGGATGGGAATTTGGGTGGGAGGCTTCTCCATATTCCTTGGTTCCTGCTCCCCATTGAATGCTGAGTTCTGGGCTATATTCCATGGTTTGTCTTATGCCTGGAAGCAAGGTTGGAAAAGAATTGTTTTGGAATCTGACTCTCTTCAAGCTTTAAGCCTTCTTACTAATAAAGGTAATGGTACTCGAGAGCTCCCTTTGGTAGCTAAGATTCGAGTCCTCCTCCGGAAAGATTGGACCGTTGTGTTGAATTGGATCCCGAGGAAGTGTAACACATGTGCAGACTGGTTAACAAAACAGGCAGTGGAAGATACTCATGGCCTTACTATTTTTTCGTCCCCTCTTAATGGCATTATTAATCTGTTGGCTGCAGATCTGCTAGACCCTGGTGTTGTCTGCTGATATTAGTTAGGAGTCTTAGGCTATTGTTTTTGCTGTTCTGTTGTCTTTTGTTTCTGTCCTTTTCGTTTTCTTGTTTTCTGGTGTTTTTGTTTCTGTTTGTTTTGGGGCTATGCCCCTTGTTGTTACCAAAAAAAAAAAAAAAAAAAGATTAACGAAAATCAACGATTAAAATTTAATAGTAACAAGTAGTAAGAAAAATAGGTAGTAAGTATAACATTTCCTTTCAAATATATATAATATTAGTTTCGTAAATATATAATACTTAATATAATAATGGTTCCCGAAAGAATTAAATACTTAATAAATACAAGCTTATCAGTTATCTATCGAGAATAAATTCCTTACTACTCCGAACCTACGGTTGTTGGTGACACCTCCTTTTTCAATTAACCAAAAACATCCCAAACTAGGAAACATTTCAAAAAAATTCCATTCTAGTAAATTATTTATAAAATTAATCTCCCTCACACAAGAAAAAAGAAAAAGCCTTATCAGCAGCTAACTTTGACAACTATTTATCTAATTCTGGTAGCGTTAGCGTTCATTCACTTTACCACTTATGATGCGTAATCCCTACGGCTATGTCATAAATCAACCGAGGAAGAAAAGTCACGTGTAGAGATAGCAACATAGCCAGAAGCCAGAACAAAAAGCATGACCCCTTTTCTTCTTTTTCAGCTACCGACGTTGACTCAAAGCTCGAACCTACACTCATTAACGATTATAATAAATTTTCAAAAGTTTCTCAACAACGCTTCGCTTCGCTTCTTCGGTTCCGTCGTCGTTACTACTTATAACCGTAAAACCCCAACTACCATTCCCTCTCTTCTCATTTCACCCTAAATTCTCAGATCTACCTCTCTCTCTCTCTCTCTCTCTCTCTCTCTCTCTCTCTCTTATGGCTTCTACGGTTGTTGCCACCGCCACCGGGATTTCCGAACCGCCGCCTCTGGCTCCGCTGGATCCTTCTCCATCCAGATCAGCCTCAGCCGACGCCATTGATCGGAACGATTCTTCCAATTCCTCGCCGAACCTTTGCACGGATGCTGAAATTCAGGTACCTTTCTTGCTCTTGGAATAATCGTCGATGCTCAGTGCTTGCTGCATTTCTGATTCTTCGATTCGGTTCAATCGATGTTATGAAGTGTCGTTTACTTTACTGGAACCTTTTTTTGTGTGTGTGCGTGTGTGTGGCTATGTTTAGCTCATGTATATAATTGTTCGAAGTAGTTCAATTAGTTGCGGCTAGGTGAAGGTCATGTGTAAAGTTGTTGCTAATAGCTCAATTTATTGCGGCAATAGTTTGTGGAGTTTTAGGGATTTTGATGTTAGGATATCTTTGCTGTCTTACTTTGCTATGAGATTTTCTAATTTTTTATCCTTTTAACTGAAATTTGTATTTGGTTAAAAGTTTAAGTTCGACATATTAATGATCAGGTTTTATAATTTTGTACTTTTTTTTGGGTTTAACTTTTGGTTACAGTCTCCAGACGAGTTGAAGAGTGAAGAATATCGTCAATTGTTTCGTCTTCCAACAGAGGAAGTGAGTGATTTTCAACCTTCACGATTGATATTATAATTTCTTTTTTTGGACAATACATGGGAATCGAACCGCAAACCTAATACACACTGAACACACGCAACACCACTAGGCTAACCCTAGTGGTGCTGATATTATAATTTCTTTATGGTTTGTTTATTGGTTTTCTGATTATCATCATATAATAGAAAAGTTGGTAATCTTTATGTCTATTTGCATTTGCATGTTTTACCGAAAAACATGCATGTGTGTGGTCATGATATAAAGAGAGGATATCATTTACCTCTGCATATATATTTTCTGGAAGTCTAGAATGTTTTTTGATCAGGCACTCACAATACATTTTGGAAGGCTAGTTTAACTCGTGAAGCACCCTCTCTCTCTCTCTCTCTCTCTTTTAAACTTTTTCCTGTAATTCATTTTGGGCTGAACAGGTTTTGGGTTTAATTACCAATTTATCCTAATTTAGTTATATATTTTTACCCAAAATTCAATGCACAATATTTTATTTTGGTACTTTCACACCTAATAATTTTACCTTACACGTTGAACCAAATCTCATTCTTAAGCTACATTAGCAGTTGAGTGAGGCTACTTTAATGTTTTTATGTTCTCTAACACAATTATTTTAGATGAACATTGATATTGTAAAAGTTGTGGTTAGAAATGTGCATATTTATAGTTTGGGTGTCGCATACTTGAGAACTTACTGTGATTAAATTCCCCTTTTCTTTTTCCATAATTCATGACACTTCTTATTTGTTCTCCTTTTCTTTAGGTCCTTATTGAAGATTTTAATTGTGCCCTCCAGGAAAACATACTTATTCAGGTGATATTCTGGTCATTTACTTGTTAAATTGTAGTAATAAGATCAAATGCACCATTTGCTTCAACGTATAGCATTTTCTTTTGTTTTCCTAATGGTTTATTGATTGCTTGTTATAGGGTCATATGTACCTCTTTGTCAACTTTATTTGTTTCTACTCGAACATATTTGGGTTTGAGACAAAGGTAAGCTGCTTAACATAATAGTCTATGCATTTAAACTTATTCTTTTGAACTCTTTATGAGAGGAATTAAATTTATAATTACCTATAATATGTTGTATATATAAATAAGATATATATCAAGGTTAAAATCAATGCACATGCTAAATCTATTATGTTGACCATCTGCTAGTCTACTAAATATATTCTGATACATGGTATTTACTTTCTTAAAGTAATTTGGCTTTTGATATTGACCTTTATAAAAATGTCTTCTTTTAGTCCTTTAGTCGTAGGGAGGAGACATAAAATTTAACTACCTTGAATTTTGTTTTAGGTTTAAGTATATCCACCTAATTGGCTTCTGCTTCTAAATTGTGTGTGGGGCAGAATTTTGGTTTGCTTCTTAGGTTATTCCCACAAAGTTATCACTTTCTATTACCCATGTATGTATTGCATTTAAACTTATACAAACGTACATAATTACCAAAATACATAATTATTAAGATTCAGGAAAAAAAATAAACATTAACTACTCATTTTTGTGATGAAACAAAACTATCTTTCTAATGATATAATTGGTTATCTGAAGGGCCGAAATTTTGGCAGATGCCATTAAAAATAAATTTTAATGTAAAAGGAATCTCATTTCATGATTTTTGTAGTTAGGATGAGCTTTTTAGCTAGTGATTTTGGTTTTTTAATTTTCAAAGTTTTCTGCACCTCAGAAATACCAATGATTTATGTTTCAGAGAATAATCCCATTCCTTGAAGTCACAAGTGTACGGAGGGCAAAGACAGCAGGGCTCTTTCCCAATGCAATTGAAATTCTTGCCGTAAGCAAGAAGGTGTGTTAGACATGGAATAACATTTCTGCTACGTTGTATTTCAATGTATTTGTCCCTGAAATTATTTTCCCACTTGTTGTTTCTATTTAATTGTGCTGCAATGTCTGAATCCTCTTATTTATTCAGCAGTACTTCTTTGCATCCTTCCTATCCCGTGATGAAGCTTTCAAGATTATTAATGATGGATGGTCGCGACACCGCAATGGTCCCAGAGCAATTACGGAACAGCAGGTCTTTTACTATATAACTCTGTCTTGATACTACTTGTTTTATCATTTTTTTGTATTCTTGGCAGTATATAACTACCAATTTGTAAATTGGTAATGTGGTGTGTTTTAGGAAGGAATGGTGCCCCTCTACTATAGTAATCTGTTAATGGATAAGGGATTAAACCAGTTTGAGGATTAGTGAGGAAGCCATGGAGAAGTCCAATCATTGAATTACATCAGGATCTTGTATGAGTCTTTTTAATTTGGCTTTTGTAATGGATGCACAGACAAGACCTATTTAGGACGAGCTCTTGGAGTACAAGCCTTTCGTAGATAAATCCCTGGTTCATAAGGCTAAATTTGGAGTTCATTCCTGCTTGGAGAGATGGTGACAGACTCTTGATTATGGGGATTTTAGGCTAAATGCAACAGATACCAATAGTCTCTTTGTGATCCCCTTTTTGTTTAATGTGTTTTTCTTTATTTAAAATATTATCAGCTTATTTGGGGACAGAAATTGAAACCCAAACTCTCTGTAATCCTCTGTCTCTGGGATGTTTATATAACTCAGAAGATGCACTTCTATTTTTGAACTGCTTAGCAGCCATTGACCATTTCCACTTGGAATAGGAGTTTTGTGTCTTTGGTAAACCTTGGTTGTGCTATCAGAGTTTGGAGCAGTTTCTTCTCATTGATGGGATGTTTGGATTTATGGTGGGGTGCTAACTATGCTGTGCTTTGGTGTATTTGTTTTGAGAGAAATGCTCAATTTTGAAGGACTTGCTATGGGATATGGTTATTTTTATGGCCCCTTTGTGTTATTCAGCTCATGGTTTCTTCAAGGGGATTTCCTTTACAAGCACGCAAAGGGGTTGAAAAGATGTTTTGTGTTGACAAGTCTTTTTGTTTCTGCCATGCCCTCTTGAACCTGTTGTCAGGAGGATATCTTATGATCCCTTGTTCTTTATAACTTTTTATATTCTTAACATGCGGACTACGTGGGATTGGAAGAAGGATGTCATGCCTATGTCCTTTGCTTGATATGGATCCTTGCAATGAAAGTGACAATTAATAGTTGTAATCATAGTGATGTGGATTTCCTTAGAATGGTTGTGATATGAGAAGTTTCTTGTAGGATATGCTGAATGTCGATTTTTCTGTTCTTTTTCATTTAAAGGATTCTTTTCAGGTCTTCTAGCTTATGTGTGTTAGCGTTTAGGTGTAGTCTTTTTGTCACCATGTATTTGTACAAAATTGCATTGCACCCAGTAATTGCCAAACTAAAGTAGCAACACATAGATAATTACATTTTGCAATGATTTTTGTTGTTCATTTCCTCTTGAAAACTTGAGATCGTCTGATAGGAAACGATTCCTATCCAACAAAAGAGAGATTGTATTAGTAGTCGAAATTAGAAGATGCAAAAACGTAAGAGCACTTCCCCCAGCCATTGAAATTCCTCTGGGCCCCAAGCTCAAAGCTGAAACAGAAAGAAAATCATGTGACTGTAGACGGATCCCATAAATCTGCTTTTCTCTCTTTTCTAACTGATTTTCCCTTGATATATGTTATGTTATCCTCTCCTCCTTGTTACAACGATTGGTGTAGTTGCCATGTGACCCGGAGTTCATTGGTTCGATTCATGTAATCAGCCTCTTACAAATGCAAGGTAAGATTGCCTACTATAAACTCATACAATGGGTCGGGCCCTTACCTGGACCTTTGCACATGGTGGGAACTTTATAGCATCGTGTTGCTTTTTTTATATGTTATCCTCTTTTAATTAGTGTTTTGGTCTACAAGAATAGAATTGTAGAGACTTATTGGGCTCTACTTTAGTGGTAGTTGTGTCCATAGTTTTATCACTGTCTTTCTTTGAGTGCATTCTGTTGTAACAGTACCTCGCACATTAAAATATGACATTCTTTGTAATTGTTATAATTATTCATATTATATGGTTATTAGGATAGATTATTAGTTGATGTAGATTTAGCTCTATTCTAAGCAAGTAATTATCTTGCTAGGCCTATGTATTGTAATGAAACCGCAACAGTGATCAATTCAGAAATAAAATTCAGTTTTGGTGTTCTTTCCATATTCAAGTTGGTATCAGGACCTGGTTAAGTAGACTTGCTTGTTATCAGGATTGACCCATCAATGGGTTTGTCATCAAGCATGACAGCCCTGCGACTCTCCTCTCCTAAAATGTTGTAGAAAACTTTGGAGAGAGAAGAGAGAAGGAGTCTTCTTTCCCAGAATCTGAACTTTGATAGGATCATACTCAGAGTTCAAACTGGAGAGGAACCCAATGATGCATTCTTGTTCAACAAAGCTGGCCAAAGTGGAAGTATTCTTGCTGCACTCTATTTTCACATTCTAATATTGATTTTTTTTTTTTTTGGGTATTCATATTGATTTAGTTCAATCTACAACCTGTTAAGGATCTCATAATAATTTGTGACGGAGAGGACTCCCTGTTTCGTAGAAATTAGAAAAAATCTGTTTTCAACTCATAATAGGTGGCTCTGCCTGTTTCATGGAGCAACTCTGATGAAGGTTTTCCCAAATTTCACGAGCAGTAAGTACAAATTTGTAGTTTGGACTAACTCCAGGTGTCATAGAATTCCATAGCCATGGCTTGAAATGGGAGTCCTCATCATCCCACTCATTGAATTCAAGGTCATTCCTGCCAAAAGCTGCTCCTTTGATGTGGTTTAGCTTCCGATGACCTTTGAGGAAGATATGTATGACTTGGGTCCATTAGAAATAATTCTTTATGGTAAGACAATAGGTACGATGCAAGACTGGTTGGTAATTGGGAGTACGAAGCATGGTGATTTTTTTTTTTTGGGGGGGGTTTGACATAGTGATCTGGGTGGTGATTAGTCTCAATGTCTGACATGATGTAGGGTTACGTAGTGGAGAAGGTTCTGTTTGGGCAAGGCGAGGAGAGATCTGGGTTGAGGAGGCCAAGGCAAATTGAATGGGACTAGTGGCGAGCTAACGCCATGTGTGATCTAAACTGTGGTGTGTGGATTTGATGTGACAAATAGAGGGCACGTGAGTGGGTTTTTAGTGGTGGGTATTTGGGGGTTGGCTAGAGAGGGGACGACAATTTGCTAGATGAGGTCACTAGTTGGAGAAACGACTGCGGCTAGCAGTGAATGGCAGTTGACAGCGACAAGCTTGGTGGCTGGATAGAGATCTAAGCTCAATGTATGCACAAAAGCAGCTGGTGTGATTGCTGTGGTGAAGGTAGGCTAGGGTAGAATCTCCTAGATAGGGAGCTTTGATATCAAAAGGCCATTATGGATGCTGGTCGATATACCTTGAAATATCGGGTTAATGGTACACCGGATCAATTTAAAGCAATGCTAGTTACAAATGGATATACTCATACCTGGATAAAAATGAACACTGTGAGAGTCTTACGCTCTCTTGCTACTTAATTTGGGTGGGAATTACACTAGTGTAATGTTATAAATGCCTTCCTTCATGGAGGAATGGAGGAAGAAGTTTATATGGAAATTCTTCGTGGACATGATTCCTATAGTAGAAGAAATAAGGTGTGTAAATAAGGTTTACATTGAAACAGTCTTCCTGTCAATGGTTTGGAAGATTCACAAAGGCAATAGTGTTCTTGTGATATAGAAGGTTGTTAGAATATTAGATATGATATGATTAGATTTGATTAGATATGATTGGATTCTGTCTTATCCGTAAATAGTCTGACTGTATTCTGACTGTATTAGGATTAGGTTTGGATTAGGTTTGGGCCTTACACTTAAGCCCATTAGGGTCTCTATATATTGTAACTCCCTGACACAGATCAATACATAACGTATTCTTTTACATTTAACTTGGTATCAGAGCTATTTCGTTCTGGGAACCCTCGCTTCCGCTTAGAAATCTTGTTCTTCGCTTTAAAACCTAAGCCCACTGCTTAGGAGTCATCTTTTCTTTGCCGTGCGTCCTTCCGGTAAGACATCAAGGGCTGTAAGTCCTCTCTAGGCATCTTCTGCACGTGTCCACATCCCCAAACAGTTACCGGAGCACCATCAGCCACCGTCAGCCATTGTTCAGGCTGCCGGAGTACTTTTCCGGCGAGTTTTCAGTCTGGAACGAACGCGATCAGAACCCTCTCCTCCCGGCGACCTGCTCTGTGGAAGTCCGGCCACCATCGGAGTTGTCACGCGCTCTCACGCGCCTCCAGTCTTCTCTGCGCGTGGGCTTCACGCGCCACCTTCTGCTGGCGCGTGAGCACTATTCCGGCGGCTTTTTCCGGCCGGTCTTGGACAGAGAAGCTCGTCTTCTCCTCCTCTTTCTGGATCTGTGGTTGGTTCTTTGTGGGTCTGACTTTTTGTGCGCACCTCTTCTTGATTGGTGATCAGGTTCGTTTCTCTTTATTCGGTTTGTATCTTTGTGATTTGATACTATGGCAGCAAACCCTCCAATTCATTCGGAGGTCAAGTCTCCATCTCCTCCTTTGAGAAATTCTCCCAATATCATCTCTACCAATATTGGGTCCATTACCTCTTCAAAATTGAAGGGATCTGTTAATTACAAGAACTGGGCCACCTCTGTTCGAGTTTGGTTCTTTGGACAAGGATATGGGAACCATCTCACAACTAAGTCTACTGATGTCCCTAAGGAGGACAAGTCTGATTGGGAAAAGATTGACAACCAACTACTCGTAACCCTTATCCTCTTTATACCTTCTTGAGCTATGATCGCCTTTCTCCTCCTCATTTCACCTTTGTTTCTAGTCTTTCTTCTGTTTCTATTCCTAAGACCACAGGTGAAGCACTTTCCCATCCAGGATGGCGCCAAGCGATGCTTGATGAGATGACCGCACTTCATACCAATGGCACTTGGGACCTTGTTTCTGCTCCTCCAGAGAAGTCTATAGTTGGTTGTCGCTGGGTGTTTACTGTGAAAGTTGGACCTGATGGCCATGTTGATTGTCTCAAGGCACGCCTAGTTGCCAAGGGTTTTACTCAAATCTTTGGCCTTGATTATAGCGATACATTCTCTCCAGTCGCTAAGATGGCGTCCGTCCGCCTATTTCTTGCCCTTTCTGCTGTTCGTCACTGGCCACTTCTTCAACTTGACATCAAAAATGCCTTTCTTCATGGTGATTTACAAGAAGTTTACATGGAGCAACCACCTGGTTTTGTTGCTCAGGGGGAGTCTGGGAAGGTATGTCGTCTTCGAAAATCCTTATATGGTCTCAAGCAGTCTCCTCGAGCATGGTTCAGTCGCTTCAGTTCTGCTGTACAGGCGTTTGGCCTAATTCGCAGTAAAGTTGACCATTCTGTATTCTATAGGATTACATCTCCTAACAAGTGCATCTATTTGTTAGTCTATGTTGATGACATCATCCTCACCGGAAGTGATCAAGACGGAATCCATCAGTTAAAACAACATTTATTTAGTGCATTTCAAACAAAGGACCTTGGGAAGCTGCGCTACTTCTTGGGAATTGAGGTGGCGCAATCTAGACAGGGCATTTCTATCTGTCAAAGGAAGTATGCCTTGGATATCCTAGAGGAGACTGGTATGTTGGGGTGTAAACCAGTTGATACACCCATGGATCCTAATGTTAAGTTATTGCCCAGACAGGGGGAGCCGTTATCTGATCCTAGACGTTATCGAAGGCTGATTGGGAAGCTCAATTATCTTACTGTGACTAGGCCAGATATTTCTTTCGCTGTCAGTACGGCCAGTCAGTTCCTTGATTCCCCTTGTGATTCACATTGGGATGCTGCTGTGAGGATCCTCCGATACATCAAAGGAGCACCAGGAAAAGGTTTGTTGTATTCGGATCAGGGAAATACAGAAATTTGTGGTTACTCAGATGCCGATCGGGCAGGATCACCCTCGGACAGACGCTCTACTTCTGGTTATTGTGTCTTCTTCGGAGGAAACTTAATCTCATGGAAAAGCAAGAAACAACCTGTTGTTTCCCGATCTAGTGCAGAAGCTGAGTATCGTGCAATGGCAAATACTACCTGTGAGTTGATCTGGTTAAAGCAGTTGATTCAGGAGCTTCATCTTTGTGAACAGAAACAACCCATGACACTCATCTGTGATAATCAAGCTGCGCTACATATATCCTCTAATCCTGTTTTTCATGAGAGGACCAAACATATAGAGATTGATTGTCACTTCATTCGGGAAAAGATTCAGTCAGGAGAAATCAAGACAACTTTTGTCAACTCGTCTAATCAACTAGCAGATGTTTTCACTAAAGCTCTTGGAGGTCCTCGGGTTGAATACATTTGTAACAAGCTTGGTGCTCATAATATATACGCACCAGCTTGAGGGGGAGTGTTAGAATATTAGATATGATATGATTAGATTTGATTAGATATGATTGGATTCTGTCTTATCCGTAAATAGTCTGACTGTATTCTGACTGTATTAGGATTATGTTTGGATTAGGTTTGGGCCTTACACTTAAGCCCATTAGGGTCTCTATATATTGTAACTCCCTGACACAGATCAATACATAACGTATTCTTTTACATTTAACTAAGGTAATGTTGTCTTTCTTAAACATTCACAAGAAGGTAAAATCACTGTCTTACTTGTGTATGTTGATGGCAATTATATTAGTTGATGACTTAATTGAGAAGCAATTGCTAAATGAAAAATTAGTAGTTGAGTTTGAAATGAAAGATCTTGGAAGGCTAAAGTCTTCTTTGGGATTGTTGTTGCTACTCCAAATAGGGCATCTTTATTTCTCAAAGGAAATAAATATGTTCTTGATCTTCTCAAAGAGTCTGGAAAGCTGAATTGCAAGGCTATTGGTGTGCCCTATAGAATGGGAAATGATTAAGAGGGTCTCAAGGTTGATAGAGCTGAATATCAGAGTTGTATAAGGATCTTGATATAGTCGATGCATACTAGACTATATCTAGCATATGCTATTAATATTTGTTAGCAGTTCATGCATGACTTGTTGGTGAGACACTTGCAAGCCGTGACATTGTCTTAAAGCTACACTTGGAAGAGGATTATTATTTAGAAGGGGGTGGAAATTTATCTTATGGGAGTGTATACAGATGCTGATTAAGCAGGTTTAGTCATTGACAAGAGTCCAACTTGTATTTATTGTATGGTTTTTTGTGGAAACTTAGTAACATTGAGACGTAAGAAGCAAAACGTGGTTACTTGGTCAAGTGCATAGATTGAGTTTTGAGCTACAGCACAAGGAGTTTGTGAGTTACTATGGATGAAGATTATATTGGATGATCTTAGAACAAAGTAAGAAGCTCCTATGAAGTTGTTTGGTGACAACAAATCAGCCATTGACATTGCTCATAATTTGGTTTAGCATGATAGAACAAAACACACAAAATACACAGAGAGGGACCTGCACTTTTTTGAGAAATTAGATAGTGGATTGATCACCACAACATTTGTTACTTTAGGGTTTCCACTAATAGACGTGTCAACTGGGGCCTATCCATAGAGGTTTCAGAATCTTATTGGCTAGTTGGGGATGTTAGATATCCATTCACCACCTTTTTTTTTTTGCACTTTAAAATAGGATATTCTTTGTAATTATTGTAAATTATATGGTTATTAGGATAGATTATTAGTTGTCGTAGATTTAGCTCTATTAGGAAAGTAATTATTGGGAGTTGTGCTTAGGCAATTAATTACCTTGCTAGATATGTATATTATAATGAAACCATGTATAGTGATCAATTAAAAAATAATTATTTTTAGTTTTCTTTTTCACATTCAAGTCATTCTTTTCCTATCAGTAATAAGATTTTAAAATGCCAATTAATTGGTGGAAATTGCTTTTTGGTACCATTTCCTCATATCTTTATTTTATTTCAGGAATCAATATCTGAGTCCAGCAGCCAGGAGAATGGATTTATAGCTATTGAAAATGAAAAAAATTGCATTATACCAGATGATGAGTCTCTTTCGACCGACCAGTATGTCCATGATCATATTGGCTGTTGCTTTAGAATACGATTATATTGTTTGAGACTCATTTAGGCTTTTCTTTTGCGTGTGAATCAGGAGCAAAGATACTTCTATGTGCAAAGATGTGGGGCTTCCATCCGTTGTTGGAGATGACCCTGTATTGATGACAGTTTCAGAGAATCAATCCAGTGTAAAACGGGCTGCTGAACCTGAATTGAATAATGATGCCCCAAGTTTTAGGTGGAACTGGACTGAGGAAGATATTGATGCTCCGACAAGTGAGTTCTGGAGCATACAAATACCTTTTTATATTTTGGATTCATGCTCACAAACATTTGCAGTCATTTAGAAATTGTTTTGAAGAAAAATTTTCCACTTGGTTTTTGTTTTGGATTGTTCAACGGATGTCTCTTGTAGTGGATACAGGAAAGGTGTGGTCCTTTTGAATCATAAATAAAAATGACACCTTTTACTTTCCTGTTGCTTTAGGATTTAGGGGTATAGTTATGATATATGGACACAAAACTACCTCTACTAAAATTTGCAACAATCGGGTGGTTTTGATACACGGGATGGAATTAGAATTTAGTCTACTGTTGTCCTCCAAACATTTTGGCTACAATGAAACGGACAATAACACCATTTATCTTAAGTGGTGTAAGTAGTTATATATTGGTGTAAGTGTGTCAAATCTTAAATGCGTCACTTGACATATGCTTCTAGGATGTTGTAAACTCTATGGTAGGAGTGGTGTTGACGAGTTTATGAAACGATAACATATGGTTGATATTAGGAAATGAATGGCTCCCCCTAATTTTCTATATCTCTCTGGATCGAAGAATGACTCTCCTTAATTTGGTAGACACTTAACATTTGGATCCATTGGAGTGTCAATTGGCTTTGCAATCAACAAAGTTGTCTTCTCAAGAATGTTCGTACTGTACTTCCTCTTAGAGACGGAAAAACGGGTTGAATCTATCGAGTTGGCCTGTTTAACTAGCCATAAATGGTAGGTTGGGATTTCCAACCCACCAACCTGTTTGAACCTGCCTCACTTAAGGGTGGGTCAAAATGGGTTCAATGCGCCGTAGGATGGGTTGACCCAGCGGGTTGGTTTTTTTTTTAAACATTAATTAATGAACTTCTTTTACACCTTTTTTTGTCTTCATTTGATGCCTTTTACATCTATGGAGAGTATAATTTTTTTTTTTAAATTTCACTTTTCTAATATTTGGCAGTTGGTGGGACAAGGTGGGTTGGAGGTGGGTTAGGGTAGGTTGTAATTTTCAACCCACTTTTAAAAGTGGGGCAGGGCGGGTTAGCTGCTTTGCCACCGCGATGAGATAGCACAATACCATATTTGGATTGAGCAACCTCAATTCCTAAGAAATACCGTAATTTTCTAAGATCTTTTGTTTGAAAATGATGATAGAGATGTTTTACCTTGTAATGTCATGAGACATTACCTATGAAAAGAACATCATCAACATATACCACCAAATAAATAGATCCCAAAATTGAATGGTGATAGAAATAGTGGTCAAACCTTACTCCGAGTCAAGTCAAACTGTTGCAGAATAGCGCTAAATCTTTTAAACCTAACTTGTGGAGATTATTTGAGACCATATAGAGACTTGCGAAGACGATAAACCATACTAGATGCCCCCGAGCAACAAAATTAGGAGGTTGATCCATATACGCTTTCCTTAGCAAGATCACAATGAAGGAAAACCTTCTTGTTATCCAGCTGATATAGAAGTCAGTGACGATAGCAGCCATAGAAAGGAAAAAGCAAATTGAGGCCATTTTTTCCATAATTGAGAATCTGTCCCTAAAATCTAGTAGAAACACCGGAATGTATCCCTTTACCACGAATTGAGCCTAGAGATTGTCCACTTGACCATCAGGACCAACCTTGATAGTGAATACCCACCTATCATCATCCTGAATGAGATAAAGCCTCAACTATAGTCTTGGGAATAGTCACAAAAGACAAGGAAGAAAGACAAGCAAAATGCGAAGGTGAAAGCCGATGATAACTCAAAGTAATATAATGGTGTGAAGGATTAGAAGTAGTACGAATACCTTTGTGGAGAGCAATGGGTAGGTCCCTATCAGGAGGCAAGGCCTAAGCAGAGTCCACGGGAATCTCATCAACAATAGGAGCAGGTGCAATCTCAGGTGGTGGAGGTGGTCGACGCTAATATACCTGCAATGGGTGGATAGAAATTGGGTCGTTGGTGCGTGAATCATCTAAGAGAAATCTCAATGATGATTGCACAAGTGCAAATGCACCCTTCCAAGTAATAAATAGGAGTATAGAGTCCCGGTTATCGTACCCATGGGGAAAGTATCCTTGAGTTTGATTTAAAGATGTGTACTATGTTTAATACTACGTAATAAGGAGCGTCAATTTAAGTTTTAAAATTAACTTGGAAATTTCAATTGCCAATCGTTCCTCTTCACAAATGCATATTGTCTTTACACGGTTGAAGATTGAATTGATTCAAATCAATTCCTCTTGTAAGGAATGACAGTTCATAGGAATGAATCTTTAGGAAAAATGTTGTAAGTGCAGAAAAGTAAACGTGACAGAAAGTAACCTTATATTTTTGGTATTTTTCTTTTTATGGAATGCAAAGGTTGACGGGGAAACAACACAAAATGAGATAATTGGTTATCAAGAACAGAAGAAGGTATCTGATAAATGAGATAACAACATGTAGTGAGGACAACATCACCTCAAAAATGATAAGGGACATCCCCGTGGAGTAATAGTGTCCGAGTTGTTTCAATGAAATATCAGTTCTTTTGTTTGGCAACACCATCCTTTATGGGGGGTATGAGCATATGACGTTTGATGAAGAATGCATTAAATTTTGAAATTGGTAAAACAAATATTCTCATGCATTATCACTATGAATGTGCGGATAAGAACACTAAATTGAGCAAGAATTTCATGATAAAACTATTGCAATATAGAAAATTACTCGGACTAATTTTTTATTAAAAATAACCAAGTGCATTGAGAATAATTATCAATAAATATGACAAATAGGATCACTTGCTCACGATGGTCAAAACGATGGGTGCCTCGCCTGAAAAATCGCCGGTCAATGGCTATCAAAGGCTTTGAAATGGCTGCCTGAGAAGGACTAAAACCAGAAACTGGTGGATGTGACAGTTTTTTTGGGGGAAAAAAAGTTTACTTAGTAGACAATGGGTTCACCAAAAAGGCACGGATTAGGGTTCCTCTCGTTAGGTTGTAGATACCATGATAAATTATTGGAATCCGTGTGTCAACTACATAGCGGAGGCTCTATTATTGCATGGGTCAGTAGAATGTGCATTGGAGTTTGGACAATCATTTGCAATTTAATCGTTTTGTCATTTTTTTGGTAATTCATACTTTCTTTATTGACTTCTATGCCGAGGTTTTGAGTGTTAATTGTTTTGAAGTTGTTTTAGCAATTGTCTTAATTAAAAAGTTTCTGTCTTAAGACTTTTGCAGTTAGATTGTCTTTTTTTCCTCATTATGGACTTTCTACAATTGAGATTTTAATGTTTTTAACTGATTTTCTTAGAAATTTATTGTTTTAATCTACTTTATTTATTTATTTTTCTTTTTTTACCCTATGAGACCATGGGAACATATATTACTCTTCTTCCAGTTAGGTTTTCTTCTTTGATAAAACAAAACCAGTTTCCAATATAATTTGTGATGAAGATAATATGCAAAACTTTTCAAACCAGTCTTTTTAAGATGGCTGATGGCATGGATATTTGTTTGCATGGTCTTGACTGAGTTTGTGCCTACTGCAGTGCTCTGTTATGTATATCATATTTCGCTCTGAACGAAGACTGGTCATTTGCATGCCGTGGTTCTTTATATAGCTTAGTGTAGTACCTATTTAACACCATAAATTTAGTTGCATGTATATTCTGACAATATAATACATCCAGCATTTTATAGAATATTTGTTCGTCAGTTCATGCATTACTGCTTTCTTTAACTGCCGTTTCCTCAATGATAAAATTTATGAATTTCTTCTTTAGTTGCTTTTGTGATCTGTGAGTGTATATCTAGACCAATCATTAGGAAACTTTTTATGGGAGAGCGAGAAACACTTCATGTTTAAATACCCGTTGTGTTTCTAAATCTAATATTCTGATAATTTGAGCTTAATTTCTACTATGCAGCTCCGGAAGCTTATACATGTGTAGCAGAATCAGCGTTTCCGGTATTATTTTATTTGGAAGTTACTATTTATGTTTCTACTTTTTAAGTTTTTCCTTGCTGATTTGGTTGATATTAATTTTCAAAATTTATGAGATTTTCTTAAAGTTTTGAATCTACAAACTGCAGATAAAGGTTGAAGATTTCTTTAGGTACTTTTTCTCAGATGATGCTGTAAATTTTCTTGAGTCTTTTCATAAAAGATGCGGAGATAAAGGTAGCCTGCATGAAACTCTTAAACCTATTGAGTTTCAATTGTCATTTTCATTTTCTTGTTTTGTTTATTTTCATCATTGTCATTTAAATGATTTTAGTGAAGGAAAGATAACTGATGTCTTTCTCCATACCTTTTTTTTTTGGTGAGGATGATTTCCTCTTCTTCTTTTTTGGCTTTCAGACTTTAAGTGTGCTTCATGGCAACCTCAAGAGAAATTTGGGTATGCTCGTGAACTGTCATTTCAACATCCAATAAAACTTTATCTTGGTATGCTTCTGCAGCTTTTATTTTGCATGTACACGTTTAATTTCATGTTCTGAATTGAGCTTAGTTTTGTTGTCCCATTATAATTTATAGGTTATAAACTATTCAATAGCAGTGCTGGAACTAAAATTTTGAGGGAACCAAAGTGAACGCCTAATATGTAAACTAATGTACAAAGACTTAGAACTTTTAACACATTCACGAGTAACGAAACTGTTTTTTTACAAATAAGATCAAGCATTATATATCTAAAGTTTGCAGTAAGTTATTTACACAAAGTTAACTAAATATAAGAGAATAAAACTATTAGATGCAAAAACTCTACAAGCACACACTTTATATAAGACAGTGCTAAAGTGGGCCTAATGAAAGTGAATGGGATGCTTATAGATCAGTGTTCTAGTTGACTAGTTGAAGATGAGCGATGCTAAATGTGTAAGGCTAGCAAGTCTAAAAATAATATGGGGCCATACTCCTACGTCATATTTGGGGCATTAATAAATTTTTCCTCTGATATCCCTATTTGCTAGTGGACATGATTGTGTTTCCTTTTCAGGAGCAAAATTTGGTGGCTGCCATGAAGTCCAGAAATTTAGAGTTTACAAGAACAGGTTTGATATAACTTTTAGTATCAATCTATTTATATGTTACATCAATTCATCTTCTCTCTCTCATTGCAATTATTTAGTTAAAGGTTTTGGAAACCTTCCAATAGAAAGGAAGCTAGATGGAGGATAATTATGTGAATGGATGTCCCTAGGTAGTTAGGGGTGTTGTGGTGTAGGTTGGACAATGTAATCAACTATGTGTAGCATTTTTTCCAGTTATATTGGCTTTATAAATTGAAATAAGAGTGTAAAGAACCAGATCAACCCAAAAGCTTAAGTTGTTAGGTGAGGCTACATTAATAGTTTTATATTTCTCTAACATGCTCCCTCAAACGAGAATCCACTGGGTTTGAAGGGTGGCAAATGCACAGGCCCACCTACCTGTGTTTAGAAACTTTGCATTACTTAATCAATTATTGATTAGATTTTTTTTTTTTTTTTTTTTTTTTTTGGGGGGGAGGAGGAGGTAAGAATCAAACTCTTAAGCACTTACTCATGAAAGCTCTAATATTATGTAAAGAACCAATTCGACTCAAAAGTTTAAGTTGTTAGGTGAGGCTATATTTAATGGTTTTATATTCCTATAATAGGGAGAAGCTTTGAAATTAAGACAAATGATGCAGTTGTAGTTTATGAGTTTATGCAATTGTCGGAAATGGAGTTGTTTGGGATGCTTTATTTTCAAGGACTCTTAATAATTGGGAGGTAGGACTATTACTTGAGAGAAGGAATATTCTAGTTGAATGGAAAAATATTGAATATTATTCCTTGAATATTCATGTAAAGATATTTACAATATATAGATTGATCTGAATAATTGCTAATTACTTTCCTAATAAAGATTTGATTTTAGGGAAACAAATACAAAGCAAATTAGACCTATAATTTGTCTAATAAAAAGGAAAAAATCAACATCAACATCAACAATACTTTTAACCCAAGCTAATTGGGGTCGGTGGTAGATGAACCCAACAATAAATAAGGGGAGATTAAAAATAAAATAAAATAAAAAATAAAGAAATAAATAAATAAATATAATAAAAAAATAAATACAAAAATACAAAAATAAAAATAAAAAATTGGGGAAGGGGGAAATAAGATGAAAGACAAGAAGGGGAAAAGAAAGAAAAGGGGGATTAAAGAGGAAAATGACTAAAAAGGGACTAAAAAGGATTGTTTAACTACCTTTCTCCAGGTAAGTTTCGGTCTACCTCTACCTCTCTTTGTGCCGAGCTCTTAGTAACAAATTTTGTTCTTACAGGAGCATCCAAGAGTCGTCTCATTACGTGCCCAAACCACCTCAATCTATGTTCCCTCATCTTTTCAGTTACCGGTACTGCTTCCACCTTTCGTCGAATATCTTCTTTTCTTATCTTATTCGTCTTCGTATAACCACACATCCACCTTAACATCCTCATTTCTGCTACTCCCATTTTATGCTTGTGTTGCCTATGTGCTGGCCAACATTCAGCTCCATATAACATTGTAGGCCTTACTGCTATCATATAGAATTTTCCTTTCAGCTTAAGGGAAATTTTGCGGTCACACAAAAACCCAGATGCACTCCGCCATTTCATCCATCCTGCTCTGATTCTATGATTTACATCCTCATCAATCTCACCACCTTTTTGCAAAATTGATCCCAGGTATCTAAAAGCATCTTTCTTGGGTACCTCTTGACCAAGTAGATGAACGGGGTTTTGATCTCCATCTCTTACCATAGAAAACTCACACTTCATATATTCAGTCTTGCTCCGGCTTAATGTGAAACCTTTAGACTCCAAAATGCTTCTCCACAATTCAAGTTTCCTATTAACACCGTCTTTGGTCTCATTAATAAGCACAATATCATCTACAAAAAGCATAAACCACGACACTTTCTCTTGAATGTCTTTTGTTAGTTCATCCATCACTAAGGCAAAGAGATAAGGACTCAGAGTCGAACCTTGAAAAATAATAAGGAAAAATAAATGGAAAAAACTATCATTTTAAAGGATTTAAGCTTATATCCTTTTAGATCCTAACCGTTGATTTCCGTCCATCAACGGTTATAATCTATTGGGCCAAACTTAATGGGCCAAATTTATTATTAATTAATTAATAATTTTAATCCAATAAATTATAACCGTTGATGGACGGAAATCAACGGTTAGGATCTAAAAGGATATAAACTTATATCCTTTAAAAGGACAGATGTTATTCCCTAAATGGAAAAAACATCTATCCTTTTAAAGGATATAAGCTTATATCCTTTTAGATCCTAACCGTTGATTTCCGTCCATCAACGGTTATAATCTATTGGGCCAAATTTATTATTAATTCATTAATAATTTTAATCCAATAAATTATAACCGTTGATGGACGGAAATCAACGGTTAGGATCTAAAAGGATATAAACTTATATCCTTTAAAAGGACAGATGTTATTCCTAAAATAAATATATGATAATTACACAATTTCTCATACCATATCTATAACACTTCCACTCAAGCTGGTAAATTGATATATATCATTCTCATCTTGCTAGTAAGGTCTTGAAATATCTCATTGGGAAGTCCCTTGGTCAACATATCAACTAATTAAAGTCTTGAAGGTATATATGGAGTATTAATGAGCTTGCTATCAAATTCTCTTTGATGAAGTGGCAGTCAGTCATAATGCTTTTTGTTCTACCATGCTGAACTGGATTATGATTTAAACAAAGGGTTCCCTTTTTGTTATTTGACATGACAAGAACATTTTCCTACACACACAAATCAAGTGTGGGTCCCACGCTTAAAAAAAAAAAGTCAGACCAAAGTCAGGATACGACGCCGTATCCTTGTTGCAGGAATGAACAGTGCCATTCCTGCAACATGATTCTTATATTTCCCTTAAACAAATGAAAGATTTATTATTACAAAACAACTTCCTAAGTCCTTCATATTTCACATTGAGGTTGTGTAGTATGATTTTCAGCCAAAATAGTTTACAAACCCTTTGAGCCATAGTTTGAAACTCGGTCTATGTGCTTGACCAAGCTACCACGTTTTGAGAACATAAGTCCTTACCAAGCATGGGTCGATAACAAGAGTTTGAAGATTTATCGACGAAGTCAATGAGAGGTCCTAGGCATGCTAGCTCAGCCTTGCTAAGGGCTAGTACCTTGTTTACCACTCTTAGGAGTTAGGACTAATTTCTGACTGATCTCAGAGTTGGACATGATGGCTGGACGGGCACTGCACGGTTGAGCCGAGAGAGGTTTCGATGCCACAAAATTCAAGTGAGTGGCATATCTGGGTAGAGGAGGTTGAGATGAGACAAATGGGGCCAGTGGCAGTCTGATAGGCGCCTCTCTAGAAGAGGAAGTGTGTGGATCCACGTGCAGTGAGTTGTAACTGTGTGTGGAGGGGGCATTGAGCTAGGTCTCTGGCAGGTGGGGTCATTAGTCTGAAAGAAGCTGGCGAACAACGTTATTTGTGGCGGCTGATGGCTCGTGGGTGACTTACTGGCCGTGGGTCTTCAAGGAATGGGCGGCCAGGGCATGGTGGACCTGTTGGTGACTTCACCGGTCAGAGAGGCAACTGTGGTGGCTGAGGTCTGTTAAGCCTGAAAGTAAATTATTTGAGTGCAATGAAGGTGCAGACAATAGGTCAAGAGAGCTGGGCAGCAATGAAGGTGGTGGTTGCAATGATAGCAAACTAAAGTTTTGTAGATGTAGTCTCTCCCAAATCGGGAGCTAATTAATGTACAGATGTTTATAACATATAGACTAATGTGAATAATTGCTCTTTTAATAAAAAAGATGATTTTAGGGAAACATGAATTTATATTAATTACACAATTATTCATTCTATATTTACAACAATTCTTATTCAATGAAATAATTTCTTTCAAACTAAGCATTGTGAGTTTGGAATGGCATGCAACATGAACTTATAAGTTGAAACTTGTTGGAGGTTTGTTGAGTTTTGCTTTCATTTTTCTCTTCTTTGTTGTGTAGTATTGGTTAGGACTTAGGACTATTGCTGCTTTTATTATGTTATTTCGAAGAGAAAAAATGGTTGCTTTTGCCTCTCTTGTACCCGTTATTATTTCTTTTATCTTATTTCTGTGCTCTTTGATGTTTATTATTTTTGGTATTTGTTCCAAGAATAAATTTACTGCATTGACTACATGAAATGTATAGATTTCTTAATATGTTTTGTGTTATCTTGACATGTATTTGTTACTTCATCCAGTCATGTGGTTATAGAGACATCGCAAGAAGTCAGTGATGTACCTTATTCAGATTATTTCCGTGTTGAGGTACAAATTTTCTTTAGACATTAAATCTTATGCATAAAACATGAGCTTTTTAGTAATTTTAAACTGCGTAGTTTTTCAATTAAAAATATTTATTGGGTTACATTTTGTCTGAAAGAAAAAAAAATATTAGAGGAGAAAATTTACGGAAGAGATAGAGGACAAGATATCCTCGTTAACAGGAGAACAACAAGAAAAAAAGGAGTATGCACAAAAAAAAGACAAAAAGAGAAAGAAAAAGGAGGAGGAGTAAACAATGCCATCAACAAAACAAGGTTCTTTGTCATGAACCAATTATCTCAAAAACTGCTGTCCGGTTAAGACAAATGAGTGATTTATATTACATATCTAAAACACCTCTCGCAAGAGTCTTTTGGGATTAAAATGTGAACAATGCACATGTTCATCTAATGTTATGTTGAAATTCATCTTCTTATTAAAAGAATGTAGGCGGTAAAGAAACTCTAGACCATTTAGTTCTAGAGACTTTGATACCATGTCATGAACAAATTATAGCAAAATCTTAATCTTTTACTTGGAGACACATATCAATTAAACCCTTATCCCAAACTAGTTGGGGTCAGCAGCGGTGAACCTAAGTAACAAGCAATAAGTAAAAAGAAGAATAAGAAAAATAAAAAATAATATTAGTAAATGAAAAAAAAAAAAATGAAAAAAATGGTAGGCAATATTGTCAATTTTCCATGATACCTAATCTTTTGTTTTTGCTATGACTTAAAAGAGTAGGAGTTATTGTCATTAGAAATTAAGGACAAAGGCCCAACACTTTCACCCTGTTAGAGAATAATTAAAAAGGCTCTCACCCATCAGCTTAAGCTTTTCGGTTGAATTGGTTCTTTACATGGTATCAGAGCCTTGGTGTCACGGGTTCAATCCTCATTGCCCCCCACTTTCTCTTGTGGAATTTCTTAGCACAGGTAGGCTGAGTTTGATGCATTGTCCACTTTTTAAGCTCAATGGGCTCTCTTGTGAGGGCGCGTGTTAGAGAATAATATAAACCATTAAATAGGCCTTCACCCAACAGCTTAAGTTTTTGGGTTGAATTGATTCTTTACACACCCAATCCTGCCTTTTTGTAAGAAATGTCTCTGATAATTTAAAATAGTTTACATTCTGTAAAGAACAAATTCAACCCAAAAGCTTAAGCTATTGGGTGAGGCTACATTAATGGTTTTATATATCTCAACACTCCCCCTCACACGAGAGCCCACTGGGCTTGAAGGGTGGACGATGCACAGGCCCACCTACCTGTGCGAAGAAAGAAATTCCACTAGAAAGAAAGTGGGGGGCGGTGAGGATCGAACTCGGTACATCGAGACTCTGATACCAACTTGAATGTAAAATAATATGCTGTGTATTAAGTTAATACAAAGAGTTACAATATATAGACACCCTAATGGGCTTACGTGAGAAGCCCAGAGCTAATCCAAAAACTAAATAGAAAAAGAATATTTACATATATGGAAGTAATCTATTACAAGCATTCCTTTATAATCAAATGCTCTACAGAATAGCATAGATAGCCAGAGGCTTTGCTTCATCAAATAGAAACCGGTTCAAATTCATGGAGTGCACTGAAGGATCTTCAAATACAACAACAAAAGCCATTATGCTCCGTCAAAAACCAAATATTTGAAATGGCTGTTTAGACTGAAGTCTTTAGTAATGGTTTCTCTTAGATTTTACCTTGGTGTTGATCTACTTCTGTTTACTAGGCTATCCTCCATATGATCAACTCTTCTTAGTAGGGTCTCCATTGGTCTTCTTCTCACATGTCCAAACTGTTGTGGGCAAGATTATGTCATCTTCATCTAATATACCAAATAATTTACTGAAGAGGCTAATGATAGATAGCCTCCCCCCCTCCTCTCTCTCTTTAAGTTACTCTTGACTAAAGAAAATCCCACATTCTTTTCTATCCTTTGGGGGGTACCACAACTGTGATTTATTAAGAGATAAGTAGAGATACTTGATAAGCAAGCCTGTATAAGTGTTGCATGACCACCCACTGATAGGAAATCATGTTTGTTTAACATTTGCAATTCAGCTAAAGAGTAAAGAAGAAAGAGTTTGATGCTCTGTGGTAATCTCAACCAAACAAAGCTTTTGCCAAATTAAATTTCAGCTTCAGGCCATCGGTTGAATTACTTTGTTTAGAATCATAAGGTGGCAGCTGGGGACTATACCAGTACTGCAGGCTTAATTGCAGCCCAATGCTTGAGTTTCTACTTAATAACTATCTTTTCCCTATGAATTGTCAGTTTCTACTTATGCATAGTTTCATCGTTATTTACCAGGGACTGTGGAATGTAGAGAGAGACAAGGATGAATCAAAAGATTGCTGCATTTTGCGGATATATGTGAATGTAGCATTTTCGAAGAAAACTATTTGGCAAGGTGTGGTTTTTTATAATGTATCCTGAAAGAATATTCCCTTGGTTTTTATCTTAAATATTATCATTTCTACTAATTTTACATGTTTGATTCATAACTTGATGACTTTTGTATCATGCTAAATCACTTAGTTTTATGCTTTACCTGCATTTTTTATTGTCTGTGTTGGTTGTGTTATGTGTAGCTGCTTATTGTCTTCAATTTATGCCATGAACTCCTGTATATGTTAAAGACCTTATCTGTGGAACATTTTCTAGAAATCAAGAAGTATGATATGATGTTTTAAGCAAGCATATAAATACAAATTATAGTGCTTTTTTTCCCCCTTACTATTGATTTATGATGTTGTATGGTTCAGGAATTTTAAGCAATAGAAAATTTTGTTCGAGAGAAGATTTACAGAAGAGATAGAGGACAAAATACCCTCGTCAACTAATTGCATATGTTAGATCTGGTCTAGTATGTTCTAGGTGTTAGAATGTCTTAGGTGACATCGTTTATTTATTGTAGAATTAGTTCGAAACAAAATCAGGATTATGTTCTTATATATCTGGGATAGAGTCAATGTAATTAATACCAACACTAATATATAGATCTATGTGTGGACTATTACACACAATTTCATCCTATCTGATTTTCTCTCAACTTAAAGTAAGACCGATATACTTATTGTGTTTAAGGTTTGTGTTGAGATATATAAAACTATTAATGTAGCCTCACCCAAGAGCTTAAGCTTTTGGGTTGAATTAGTTCTTTACATGGTATCAGAACCTCGGTGTACCAGGTTCGATCCTTACCGCCTCCCACTTTCTTTCTAGTGGAATTTCTTTCTTCGTACAGGTAGGTGGGCCCGTGCATTGTCCACCCTTCAAGCCTAGTGGGCTCTCGTGTGAGGGGGCGTGTTGAGATATATAAAACCATTAATGTAGTCTCACCCAACAACTTAAGCTTTTGGATTGAATTGGTTCTTTACAGTTTGAGTCATGATGTGGTGTCAAGTCTACTATTGTGGTTTGTCACTTAGCTTATTAATGGCGGTCTACCCTACTTTTGGACTCTTTCTGATTGCCTAACAAGTTGTTTTCAAGCCGATGGTTCTATTGGCCGAGCATTTAGAGATGCTAATTAGTGCTCTTGTTCAATATCAACCCATATTGTGGAGCATTAGACAAGACTTGGCTCTTAGTTGATATAGCCTTCCGCTTGAGGGGGAGCATGTTAATGTGTTAAGAATGTTGGAAATTCAAGTGTGAGTAATACATTGGTTAAGAATGTGTTAAGTGAGGAATTTTGTCATCTAACACGGAGGAGGATGGGCACTTTATTAGATAACATGATGTAAGAACCGCATCCCCCAATAAATGAAAAGGAACATTCATATTCTTGAGTAAGAGTAAGGTATTGGTTGTTTCAATTAAATGTCGATTCTTGTATCTAGCCACTCCATCTTGTACGAGGAAGACATCCTATTGAGTTATGAATTCTTGCAAGTCATAATACAAGTATTCTCGTGTACTGTTACTACACAAAATATGGATGGTGGCTCTAAATGTGTATGAATTTCAAAATAACTTATAATGATTTTTCATTGAAAGGACCCAAGTGCAACGAGAATAATTATCAATAAATGTCACAAAATATGTAAACCCTAAACTAGAATTGTCTTAACTCGTTATATCTGAATAGAGAAGAGAAAAGGGAGCATAAACCTATTTATTAACACAAGAAGAAAAAGAAAAGTGTGAATGTTTCCTCTGCTGACACGACTCACAATCTATTGACAAGACTCTCAAACTAAATTTAAACTTGTAAGAAATCAGAATTCAAAATATTTTTCGTTTTTATTTCCTATTAATTAGGATTGATTGTGATTGGGATTGATTAGTCATCGCTGAGTCATTCTTAGCTATTCTTTCTTGTATAAATACTCCTTGTGTAATTTATTCAAATTAATATACATGAACACATATTTCAATATGGTATCAAGAGCGGGTTCGTTCCTACCCTAAATCAGCCACCCTCAAGGCTGAAACCAATTCAAAAATCATCCGAAAAATCATCCAAACACAAATCAACCTCTTCTAAATCCTAGAAACCATACCTACGGACCTCCAATCGAGAAGGTGGAGTCACCATTCAACTTAGAAGGCTCCGACGAGTTGAACGCCACCGGACCCGTCGCCGTCAGACTCTCCACGCGCAGCCACTCTCCGGCGCTTGTAGCCCACGCGCTGTCTTCCCAGAATTTTTTTCCAGCGCGACCTGCCCAGATCATCTCGTCGGCCTCTTCTCTACCTATTCCAGTGGTCAGATCTAAAATCGGAGCAACTTGATTTTTGGGTCCACGGTCAAACCTTCTCTTTCTATTCATGGCTTCCTCAGATCGTTCTTCTGCTTCCTCATCTGCCCCAAATTTTCAGTCCTCTGGAGACAACTTAGGTATGCAGATCACTAGTCACCGGTTGGAACGCTAAGAATTTTCTGCAATGGTTTTAATCGGTTAAGTTGGTCATCCGGGCAAAGGGTAAGATGGGTTATCTCGAGAAAAAAATTAAGAAACATGCTGAGGTTGCTCCTGATTATGAAAATTGGGAGATTAATAATTCCTTGGTAATGGCTTGGCTAACTAATTCCATGGAACCATAGATTGGCCAAACCTATTTGTTCTTCGATACTGCCAAGGAGATTTGGGATACTGTTCAACAAAATTATTCAGATATGGAGAATACCTCTCAAGTCTTTGAACTAAGAAATAAGTTGAGAGACTATCGTCAAAGGGGTATGACTATTACTGAATATTTTACTGCACTAACAAATTTATGGCAGGAATTGGATCTTCATTATGCATCCGATCTTAAGGGATTGGAAGCTAATACCTAGTTTAAAAAACACTTGGAGAAGGAACGACTTTATGATTTCTTTGCTGGCCTCAACCGAGATCTTGATGAGGTTCGTGGTCGAATATTGGGGTAGCAACCGTTACCCTCACTTGCTGATGCCTTTGCTGAAGTTCGGAGAGAAGCTAGTAGACGAAGAGTTATGCTGGGAAAAAAAGAGTCAATTGATAAGTCTGATGATATGTCTGCATTAGCTACCAACCGTACCATTGACCGTTCCTCTGAAGAATCAAAATGGGATGGTCGTCCATGGTGCACCCACTGCAATAAAATTGGTCATACCCGTGAGAAATGTTGGGAAACCTGCAAATTGGAAGCCAAAAGGACAGAATAAAGGTTGTGCATATCAGGTCTGTACTGATGACAAGGTTAATGAGCCTCGTGCATCCTCTGACTCTGATGGTGTCTTTCTTAGCAAGACTCAGTTTGAACAACTTCAGAGACTTCTGACTCAACCTCCTAAGGCCACTCGTAATGTGGTCGAGCAAGGTACAGCTTTCCATGTTGATAGTGAAAATCATTGGATCTTTGATTCTGGAGCCTTTGATCATATGATAGGTAATCCGAGCTTGTTTTGTTCATACACTCCATACTCTGAACCTTCTCGAGTCAAGATCGTCGATGGCAGTTTTTCCCAGATTGCAGGACTCGGAACCTTTAAACTTTCTGAGCTGATTAATTTAACATCAGTTCTTTATGTTCCTTCTCTGGCTTGTAATCTTATTTCCATAAGCAAGCTGACTTCTGAGTTGCATTGCTTTGCTAAATTCTTTCCACATGGTTGTGTTTTTCAGGAACAGGACTCGGAGAGGATGATTGACAGTGCTAGAGAGGATGGCGGACTTTACTACTTTGAGGAGGATGTGACTCATGAAGTTGTTTTCATAGAAAAAGACTCTATGTTTCCTTTTTATTCATGTAATGATGTTATGCTGTGGCACCGTAGGCTAGGCCATCCCAACTTTATCTATCTTCAGAAGTTGTTACCAAACTTATTTATTAATAAAAGTTCTAGTTTGTTTTCTTGTGATATTTGTCAACTTGCCAAGCATACTCGTGTTCATTATCCTTCTAAAGCTCACCATGACTCTTCCCCATTTTCCTTAATTCATAGTGACATATAGGGTCCAGCTCGTGTAAAGAATATTTCAGGTGCTCGATGGTTCATTACCTTCATTGATGACCATTCCCGAGTTTGTTGGGTATACCTTCTAAAGGACAAGTCCGATGCTGCATCCATTTTTAAAAAGTTTCATGCCATGGTTCAAACCCAATTCCAAGTTGCTATACGAATTCTTCGTACAGATAATGGCAAAGAGTATTTTAACTCTATTCTTGGAGAATATCTTTCCCAACATGGCATCCTTCACCAAAGTGTCCTGACACACCCCAACAAAACAGAGTTGCGGAAAGAAAAAACCGACATCTCCTTGAAGTTGCTCGGGCTCTTATGTTCATCATGAGTGTTCCTAAATATCTTTGGGGAAAAGCCGTTCTCACTGCCTCGTATCTGATCAATTGAATGCCATCTCGCATTTTCAAATTTCAGTCTCCTCTTTCTAGTCTTTTCCGCACCTTCCCTTCCTTCTGAGGCGTCTCCTCCCTACCTCTCAAGTTATTTGGTTGCGTTGTATTTGTCTATATTCCCTCTCATCAACGGTCTAAGCTTGATCCTAAGTCTCTCAGGTGTGTCTTTATTGGTTATTCTCCTACTAAACGTGGCTATAAGTGTTATTCACCCTCTCTTCGTAAGGTCTTCGTCTCTATGGATGTCACCTTTTCTGAGACTCAACCTTTCTTTCCCTTGACTTCTCTTCAGGGGGAGTCTATAGGAGCAGATGAAGATCAGTCATGGGAACCTACTGAGGCCACAGTATTACCTCTACAATTGGAAACAGGAGGAGCTACAGAATCCTCACCATCAGGAGCCTCCTCAAAGTGGGGACAAGTTTATAGCAGGCGAAAGCCTCCTCAAAGTGTGAATAACCAAGAGCCTCTACATTAACAGGATTCTGAACCATGTTCTAGTTCTAGCACCCCAACACTCGAGTGCCATGATAAAAATGATCTACACTTGCCTATTGCTCTCAGAAAAGGTACTCGATCTTGTACTACTCATCCTATTTCCAATCATATTTCATATGAAAAGTTGTCTCCAGGGTTCCGTGCTTTCAATACTATGTTGGATAGTACAAAGATACCAAGAAATATACATGAGGCTCTTGATGATAAAAAATGGAGGGATGTTGTCTTTGAAGAAATGAATGCTTTAGAAAGAAATGGAACTTGGGAGATAGTGACCCTACCAAAGGGAAAGCAGGCAGTAGGATGCAAATGGGTGTTTACAAATAAAATTCAATGCAGATAATAGCATCAACAGATACAAGGCAAGATTGGTTGCAAAGGGATTCACGCAGACTCATGGGATAGATTATCATGAGACTTTTGCTCCAGTTGCTAAAGTCAAAACCATCCGAGTTCTCTTATCACTTGCTGCCAACCTAGATTGGCCTCTGGAACAGTTAGATGTGAAGAATACATTCCTAAATGGTGACTTACATGAAGAAGTCTATATGGATCCTCCACCTGGTTTTAAAAAGGGAAATGGATCAGTGTGTAAACTAAAAAAGTCTCTATATGGGTTGAAACAGTCTCCTAGAGAATGGTTCGACAAATTCACACAAGCTGTCAAAAGAAGAGGCTTCATTCAAGCACAAACTGATCATACTCTCTTCCACAAACACTCTAAGGATGGTAAAATTGCTATTCTTATTATGTATGTAGATGATATAGTTCTTACAGGTGATGATATTGAGGAATTGAACTCCTTGAAGAAATATCTAGCAGCTCAATTTGAACTAAAGGATCTTGGCTCTCTCAAATATTTCCTTGGTATGGAAGTTGCTAGAAGCAAAATAGGCATCACTCTCACACAAAAGAAATATGTTCTAGATCTTTTGTTGGAAACAGGAATGTTAGGGTGTAAGCTTGCTCAGACACCCGTGGAACCTAATACCAAGTTAGGTATTGAAGATGGGAATGGGGTGGATAAAGAACAATATCAGAGATTAGTTGGTAAATTAATTTACTTATCTCACATGTGTCCTGACATTGCCTTTGCGGTGAGTATAATTAGTCAATTCATGCACTCACCCAAGGAGAAGCATCTTAATGCAGTCTATAGGGTGCTTAGATACCTCTAGAACACTCTAGGAACAGGATTATTCTTTAAAAAAGGGTATAAAAGGACGATTGAAATCTACACTGATGCAAATTGGGCAGGCTCATCAGTAGACATGAGATCTACCTCAGGCTATTGCACCTATGTGTGGGGAAATCTTGTTACTTGGAGAAGTAAAAAATAAACAGTGGTTGCAAGAAGTAGTGCTGAAGCAGAATTTCGAGCTTTAGCTCATGGAGTTTGTGAAGGAATCTGGTTGAGAAGACTTCTTCAAGAGTTGAAGATTTCATATTCCCTACCAATAAAACTATATTGTGACAACAAGGCAGCTGTCAGCATTGCTCAAAATCCTGTGCATCATGATCGAATAAAGCATGTGGAAGTTGATCGTCACTTCATCAAAGAAAAGTTAGATGATGGAAGTGCGTATGATGTATGTTCCTACCAAAGAGCAGACTGTAGATATCCTTACCAAGGGCTTACACCGTCCAGCATTTGAAGACTTGATTAGCAAGTTGGGAATGATCAACATTTACCTCCCAACTTGAGGGGGAGTGTAGGAAATCAAAATTCAAATATTTCCATTTTTATTTCCTATAAATTAGGATTGATTAAGATTGATTTGATTAGGATTGATTAGTCATTGCTGAGTCATTCTTAGGTATTCTTTCTTGTATAAATACTCCTTGTGTAATCTATTCAAATCTGTTGAGAAATATAGTCCCACATTGGTTGTATACAACCAATGTGGGACTATATTTCTCAACAAAATCAATATACAGAAACACATATTTCAATAAAACTAGATAGGGGAAGAACCACCTTTTGGGGTTTGAAAAGACAGGGATGTCAAAGACAACTGTGAATAAAATTAGGAGTGACATGGTACATGCCACTTGGGAATTAGGCATAACAAGATGGTAAAGTCCTCAAGACTCACGATCGACTTCAATTGTTTCACTCTTCGGTGAAGGCCACATTAATGATTTTATGTTTCTCTAATACGTCTCTTCATGCAAGAGCCAATGGAGTTTGAAGGGTGAATAATGTACAAGTCCACATACCTATGCTAAGAAACTTCTCAATTGTTAATTATTTATTAATAGAATGAGAGCGGCGATGATAGAATTGATGACCACTTGGTCAAAGAGACTCTGATAGCATGTTATGCAACCATCTCATCTAAAAGTTTGAGCTTTTAGGTGAAGACTACGTTAATAGTTTTATATTTCTCTAATAGTACCCATTGGCTACCAATCATTTTAAGTGAGGTAAATAATTAAGTTGGCTTAAATTTCATGATGTGGATACGTTAGCTGCATTGGTCCCCATATTCAAAACCGCTTTGCCTCATGCCATAAGAGGCAGTGAGGCTGTTTTCCACACGGTCTCGGTGCCTAGCCTGATCCCTGATTTACAACAATCAAACACCCAGAATCAATCCCCAATTAATCACCCTTGCTTTTAGCAATCCATAATCCATAAAACTTCCCTATATTCTTAACGAAGCTAATTCCATCTTGAGTAAATACCTCATGATAAATCTCAGGTTTGCACTTGAAATTCTCACTTCTATAATTTAATTCGAGATTTTAAATATTGGTAATAACATTTCTGAATTTTTCTTAAATTTGTTATTTTGATCATCTAATCTATTCCTAATAGGAGACTTTAGCATAACTGAATCTGAAGAGGTTGTTCTATACAAATTCTCTCTCTCTCTCTCTCTCTCTCTCTCTCTCTCTCCCTCTCCCTCTCTCTCTCACATATACACAGTTTGAGTTGCATTTGGATGTGTATTCTTTTCTTGTCATTGTCATGAACGTGAACTTTCTTTGATCCAAGTGGGTGAACAATCACAGGCAAAATAGTGCAGTCAACAATTGACGAATGTCGAGAGGCTTATACGACGTGGCTGAAAATGGTAATCTTTTGTGTGCGCGTTTGGATTATACATCTTTTAGTTTTGTTGCTGATCCAAGTTATATTAAATGTCCATTTAAGAATGTATCAATATTTCTTTCAGGCTCATGAGTTGTCGAAGCAGAAGAGTCTTGAAAAACAAGGTTTGGCTTCTGCAATTTCTATATATTTTCTTAAATTTTGAAGTTCCTTTGCGTTCCATATAACATTAATTTCTAGTGAAATGTCCTATTTAATGAATATAGATAGAGAAGCGAAGACTGGAGAATCTTCAGAAGTATCACAGGAGCAAAGTAACCCTACAAGGATACAAGCTACACCCAATGCGGTTGATGCTATCCACCATGTTGGCACTCACTTGCAAGGAAATTTCATTGACATGTCGTCTGTTCCATCTTTGTTCAAAGAGTTTTTGACAAAGTTCAGGTCATCTATTAAAAGTCAGAGCAATCTTTCCCTGCTCCTTGTTGCCATTTTCGCTCTGATTTTCTTCATGCAGGTGTGTACATTAAACCAGAAGTTTATATTTATGGCTTTTTTTTTTCCTTTTTGGATTTGTCATGAATTCTGCTAAGAACATCAGACTAGTCAGTTCTTGTGTGTTTGGTATCAAAATTAAATTGTTTATAAAAATCTGTTGCAATTACTAGCATCAAGTTACTAAATTTAGCTTTCAGGGATTTCTGCGTGACTGTTCATATTTGTTTTCCTTACGTCTTTGAACAAACATTTTTTTCCAGCACAATGTTTGTAACATAATAAAAGCAAAATTCAAGAATCTAAAATTGGTATTTCAGTAGTTCAGTAAAAATGATTGAAGAGAATCGTCCCCCCTCACAATAGTTCCCTAGTTTTCCCTCTTCCAGCGTGAAACATTTTGTTTGGCTTTAATGCTCGGTTCTGTGTTTGTCTTGAAATGCAATATTAGTAATGTTTTGAACTTCAGGTATAATGATTTTATTCAATTATGATTGCAACTTGCAAATCAACTACTTACATTCAAGTATTGCTAACTAACCCTTTATTCCATTGCAGCAGTTTAGCATACTTGTGCTATTGGCCAGACCGCAACACATACATGTAAACACTCCCGTAGACTTTACGAATAAGATGGAAAATGGAGTAAGTAGAAGTTTTTCAGACATAGCATGGCTGGAGAAAAGAATTCATCACCTTAAAGATGAGATGTACATGGTTGAGACTAGGCTTGAAAGGATGCGGTATGAGCATGCTCTCTTAAAAAAGCAACTAAAAGATCTAGAACGTAAATAGCTACCCAATTTCATTGTTGAATCATATATCTCTCTTTCTCTCTATAGCATCATTTTTGTATAGATATATGTGATGTATGGATCTGACATTTAATTTCGTAATGTCTTTCCTCAACGAGGACTTTATGTTTGTGCATGTTTGCCAGCATTAATGTTTTATGATTGGTCAAAGTAAATAATGTTGATAACAAATTACTCTTATTCATTTAAAGTAAATGTAACATTATTCCTCTATATACACACAGTCAGAAGGTAATGACGTTTCTGAAGCCTAGGATATGTACAAGGAAGAAAAGTAAAGTACAATTCATTAACTGACTTCTAAAGAGTTGCAGTCTACTTTATTTCATAACTTTGATTGATTTAATTCTGCCAAGTTCTTAAGAAAAAGAAACTTATCTATTATTAATCAGGAGTATATTATTCTGTCTACTTTTACTTTGTCTACCTTTGTCTATCCTTCTCAATATCGTTAAATTATAATCTCATCAAATGGTAGAGATTTACAAGATAATATAAACCCTTTTACCTTTTTTTTCCCTCCTCACTGCCTCCCTTTCTCTGTCCTTCCCTTTCTCTCTATTGCTTGAAGATAGAGACAAATGATTTGTAACAACCAATTACATTATCACAAACTGACCACTGACTTATTGATCATTGGATAAGACAATTTTGCAACTTACAAAATGTAAAGCAGATAAATAAAGAGGCAGAATGTTGATTGATTTATCTACAATATAATGAGTTGCGGGCACAAATTCATTAATTGATTTTTTTGTTTGGCTGATTCAATTGCTACAATTTTACAATTTTCAATGAGTTGCATCTTCATATGTTATTATTTAAAAGAGAAACGTTGAATACAATTTTACGATATAATGAGTTGTCTCTGTCTTTGTCCATAGAGAGAAGGGGGAGGAGAGAGAAAGAGTTGGGAGGTAGTAAGGAGAAAGAAAGAAAAAAATAGTTTATTTTATTTCGCAAATCTCCACTGTTGGATGAGATTTTTAACGATGTTGAGAAAGGTAGACAAAGATAGGCAAAATAAGAGTAGGTAGAATAACATATTTTTATTAATTAATAGGGAGTTAATTATTATAACAAAAGTTTTAGGTTTAATTTTATGATTTCTTATTATTATAAAATAAAGTTAGTTTTGTAATATAAAAATTTAAGAGAGTATAATTTGATAAATCGCTGCCCCTCAAGCAGTTTCTCACCTCGCCAACGTCCAAACAAAGAAAGAGAGTCCTTTTTTTTTTTGAAAATAGAGAGAGTCCTTAATCATTGCAAGTGAAGGTGGAAGGTCGAGGAAGCTGAGGAACTGTGTGCGCGTGTGAAGAATTGGTGGTCCAGACAAGAGAGGAGAGTTGTAAGCGTGAACAAGGAAGGAAAATTATGTTACGATCTATTGAAAATGATCAAGCTACTGTTAACCATGTTCAACCAACTAACCATGACAGAAACAATAACAAATTAACATCCACATCAGCAAACGGTTAAGCTGAGTGGTTATGAGTTAGTTGTTTTCTATGTTCAAGATTAGTTAGTTAGTTAGTTAGTTTCTTTATTGAGTTCATGAGTTATATATATGTATTTTTCCAGTTTGTATAACTCATTCATTACAATCAATACAATTCAGTAATGGAAACTCTTTCATTTTCTCTCAACTTCAAGACGGTATCAGAGCTATAGCTCTGATATCTGCCTCAGAATTTTTCGTTCTTCCTTTGATTTCTTTTCATAGCAAATCAAGCACAACTCCCTAATTTTCTATCCAATCCATCTCACTCTCTTTTCTTACATCCAAGTAAGAATCCATCTTCAAAATCATTTTTCGCAATCAGATGTTTTTCGCATATCTGATTTGCAAGAGGAAATGTATAAGCTGCATCAAGGAGATAAATCTACCAGTGAGTATTTTACTCAACTGAAAATCATGTGGGATGAACTAGATAGCCTAAAGCCTCTTCCAACGCCTGTTGTTCCTTGTAATTGTGGTGCAACGGCAAGGATGCGTGAATATCGTGATCAAGACTACACCATCAGGTTCCTGAAAGGTCTAAACGAGCAATTCGCTCAGGTGCGTTCACATATTATGTTACTTGAACATTTACCAAATGTCACAAAACCTTTTTCATTAGTGACACACCAAGAAAGACAACTTCATTCCGAAGATCGCATGAATCTCAATTCTTCTCAAGCACTTGCTGTAGTTGGAGATCAATACAATGCTAACAATAATCGTCGAGGAGGTTTCAATACTGGTGGAAGATGAACTAGAGGTCGTGGAAGAAATTATGGTGCAAAATTGTGCACTCATTGTAATAGAACGAATCATACTATAGAAACATGCTATATGCTTCATCGATTCCCACCAGGTTACAGAAAGACTCCATACACAACATAAACAATGTTGTCACTGATGAAGAATGAAGAACTTGAAATCAAGATCCATCTCTGAATGTGATTCATGACCAATATCAGCAAATTCTCTCTCTGTTATAGAAAATATCTGTTGATGAGAAGAAAGATCTCAATCATGTTGCAAATGCAATTCAAATCGACAATGGTAATCCAGGTAACCTAATTCAAGTTGATTGAGTAATTGACACAGGTGCAACCGACCATATAACTTCTCAAATATCTCAGTTTTCTTCTTTTCATAGAATTAAACCACTGCATATTAATCTTCCTAATGGATCCATTGTTACTGCTAATTTTTCTGGAACAATCCATATTTCTTCAACCCTCACTTTACATATTGTCCTTTATGTTCCAGAATTTAAAATCAACTTGATTTCTGTTAGCAAATTATTGAGTTTACAACCATACTCTCAAATTTTTTCTGCTTCTTCATATATTATCCAGCAGAAAGATTCCAACTCCAACTTCCAGAAGATGAATTGGTTCTGCTGAGTATCGTGATGGACTATATGTGATAATCTCTCGAACCTATGGAACTCAGTCACCTCTTTTTACCTCTTCAGTTTCATCTGTTAATTCAAAAACCAGTAATAAAGCCTCATTAGCTGATCGATGCTTACTTTGGCATCGACGATTAGGACATCTATCAAAACAAGTACTTCAAAACATGTCATCCCAATTTCCTTTCATTCCATTTGTTCATATTGAACTATGTGATGTATGCCACTTGGCAAAGCAACACATGTTACCTTTCAATTCTAGTGGTAGCAAAAGCAAATGTATTTTCGATTTACTGCATGCAGATATATGGGGGCCATATTCTACTAGTTCTGTTCATGGTCACATATATTATCTTACTCTTGTAGATGATTTTTCACGATTCAGCTGGGTTATGTTTATGAAGAATAAATCAGAAACTCGTGGACTTATACAGAATTTTGTAGCTTTTATACAAAATCAATTCAGGACCAAGCTTAAAGCTATAAGAACAGATAATGGAAGTGAGTTTCTAATGCACCAATTCTATTCCACAGAGGGCATTCTCCATCAACGCAGTTGTGTTGAAACACCTGAACAAAACGTAACCGTAGAGCGAAAACACCAACATATCTCCAATGTTGCACGTGCATTACTTTTTCAATCTCAGTTACCTACTCAACTGTGGTGTTATGCAGTCATACAAGCAGTACATATAATCAATCGAACATGCTCCTCAGTGCTCAGAAACAAAACCCTTATCAAGTTCTCTTTGGAATAACCCCATCATTTATCCATCTACGCACTTTTGGATGCCTTGCTTATACTACCACTCTCCCTTCCCAAAGAAACAAGTTCTGTGCAAGAGCCATAAAATGTGTATTTCTGGGCTACAAAGAAGAAGTTAAAGGTTACCTTCTATATGATCTCACAACCCGTGACACCTTTCTTTCAAGAAACGTAGTATTTCATGAAGACTACTTTCCTTTTGCAACCCAAGCCATTCAAACCAATCAAACACCTTTTGACATTTTTTTGAACTTTCCTCCCACAACACACTTATCTTCTATTCCTACTACCACACCTGAAATACCAGATGATCCTATTTTTCCAACATACCCTACTACACCCATAATACCAAATAACCTCATCATACCAGATAATCTCATACCCAATACACATAATATACCACCTGTACCTGACACATCCGTCATACCTGATATTCCCATCAGACGTTCATCACGGGTTCGTGGCCCTCCCAATTACCTACAAGATTTTCGCTGCAGTCTATCTACTACTCATCAGTCTACATCATCTTAAGGTACCACTCTTCAACCACATATTTTCACCCATTATCCAATGTTATTTCTTATGATACTTGTGCATCTCCTTTTAAACAATTATGTCTCAATGTTACTACTCACACTGAGCTTAAAAGTTACTCTGAAGATGTAAAATCAGATAAATGGTGTCCATCCATGGCAGCTGAACTTTCTGCCCTTGATCTTAACAACACCTGGAACATTGTTGATCTTCCTCATGGTAAAATACCAATCGGTTGCAAATGGGTCTACAAGATAAAATACAAGTCCAATGGAGATATTGAAAGATACAAGGCAAGACTTGTTGTCAAAGGTTTTACTCAATTAGAAGGAGTAGATTATTTTGATACATTCTCTTCTGTTGCCAAATTAACTTCTATTCAAGTATTACTCTCAGTTGCTGCTATAAAAGGATGGATCATTGAGCAACTTGATGTAGACAATGCTTTCCTTCATGGAGAATAAAGTGAAGAGGTGTATATGCACCTGCCTTAAGGATATCCACATGCCAGAGATAATCAAGTATGTCGTCTTAACAAGTCCCTATATGGTCTTAAACAAGCTAGCTGTCAATGGTATAACAAGCTTTCATCCTCTTTGATATCTCTTGGTTATACTCTAGGACAAGCAAATCATTCTCTCTTCACTTTACAAAAGGGTGATGAGTTTACTGCTTTATTAGTCTATGTTGATGATGTTGTTTTTGTGGGTAACTCTCATACTGAAATTCAACGAGTTAAGAAATTCCTTCATCAAAATTTTCACATCAAAGATCTGGGATCATTGCATTATTTTTTGGGCCTAGAAGTCTCACGCACCACAAATGGAATTCATATTAACCAACAAAAGTATGCTCTATAGATTCTTGCAGATGTTGGTATGCTTTCTGCTAAACCGTACCTATCTCCATTGGAGCCTTCACTGAAGCTTTCTCGTACCACTGGGATTCCTCTATCTGATCCCTCCTCATATTGTCAACTTATTGGAAGATTACTTTACTAAACTACAACATGACCGAACATAAGTTTTGCAGTACAACAGTTGAGCCAGTTTGTAGCTCATCCTTTGGATTCTCATCAACACGCAGCTCATCGTGTTTTGAGGTATCTCAAAGGTGCACCAGCTTTGGGATTGTTCTTTTCTCCTCAAAACTCCATTCAAATTCGCGATTTTGCAAACTCTGATTGGGCTTGTTTCCCAGATACTCGACGTTCTATCTCCGGTCAATGTGTATTCATAGGATCTTCCTTAGTTGCTTGGCGCTCCAAGAAGCAAATGACAGTTTCATGTTCTTCTTCTGAGGCAGAGTATAGAGCTCTTGCTGGGTTATCTTGTAAGCTCCAACGGCTACAATATTTGCTTAATGATCTCCATATTCCTTAGTCAAGTCCTGCTGCTGTATATTGTGACAATCACTCTGCTATTTGCCTGGCTAAAAATCCAGCATTTCATGATCATTCAAAACACATTGAACTTGATTGTCATGTCACCCGCGAGAAAGTTCTTTCTGGTTTGATACATCTTCTTCCTGTTCCTTTAGCAGCACAGGTAGCTGACATTTTTACCAAGTCACTTCCTTAATGTGCTACGTCCAACTTGCGCCGGGGGGGGGGGGTGTGTTACGATCTATTGAAAATGATCAAGCTACTGTTAACCATGTTCAACCAACTAACCATGACAGAAACAATAACAGATTAACATCCACACCAGCAAACGGTTAAGCTGAGTGATTAGGAGTTAGTTATTTTCTGTTTTAAAGATTAGTTAGTTCGTTAGTTTCTTTATTGAGTTCATGAGTCATATATATGTATTTTTCCAGTTTGTATAACTCATTCATTACAATCAATACAATTCAGTAATGGAAACTCTTTCATTTTCTCTCAACTTCAAGAAATCGTGTTGCAAAGGGTGACGGTTGGTTCTATTTTAAGGGATTTTCTCTAATTTCTTCTAGTTTTCTTATAATTTTGGGGGTTGGAATCTGTACACAGAGAGTCTACTTTATGGTTATGCTTACGTGATATTGGACAAAAGCTATGTATTTTCGGTTTGGCAATTTGTTTTTTGTTCAAGTACTATTTTAAGCTCATAACCCCATGAGTATGAACTAAATTCTTCAAGAGCTGGGTTGAAATATTACTCAGAACTCATTTGTTGTTTGGATGTTGTTTTAGGACTTTAATGTTTAAATCCCAATTTGTTTAATACTATTTTAGCTGAGTTATAATTATTCTGTTATGGCCAAGCATGAACAATTTACATAGGCGTGGTAGTATTGAAAAATAATCTACAACAGAACTGGCATTACAGACATAGAAAGTTGTTTTGGGGGGTAGCTTTGGAAATGAAGTTTCCCTTATTTAACTTAAGAATACAGTGTTTAGTGGATTCTATTCAAGTTTGATACATACGTGTGTCAAACTTTTAAGTACAAGAAATAAGCTTGTGTAAGTTGGAATTGGACTAAGTAATAAGTGAAGGAATTAAGGGGCAAAATCGGCATTTCTACCCAAGATATTTTAAAACCTCTCTCCCTCCACTCTTTCCTTTCTCCATTGATCCCACCCTGTAACACCCTGTATATATCCGGCAATGTTATCATATTATCGTATTAAGCTATGCTTAATTAAAAATGCGGAATATCTTTTTCTTTTCAATTATGATGTCATTAATCATTACCAACTTGATTACTTATTCATTTTCAAAACGTCGCCTGTATGTACATTGCAATAAACAGCTAACTGAAATACCTCATGATATAAATAACATAGATATAAGTCTCTAGTCACGGAACTACTACACGTATACCGGACCACCTATCAATTTATACAACTCAAGCTAAAAGTACTAACAACATAGTGGCATGGACAACTCTCATGCTCACCCAATTAAGGCAACAAAGCCCAACATAAGTCTCAACTCAATAATCATAAATGACAGAGAATATAAACAGCATCCAATCCAGTCATTCCAGCATATATATAACAGCAATAATCATCAACTAAGCTCTGGCCTCCTGTCGCCATAGGCATCAGTCCCCATACTACCTGAACCTGAAATAAGCATTCCCCAAACGTGGGGTGAGATCTCTAAACAAGAAATCTCAGTAAGGCAAGGGGTCCTCAAGGAACTTCCACCCCAAGCTCACTTACATGTGCAATATAAGTTCCAAAACAGTTTAACAATATCATTTCCAAAATAATGCAATGCAGCAGATAATCATGCCATGTGTGTCAATACAATAATCTACTGGCCAGAGAATGTAGGAATACGTCTATTACCCACACATAATAGTACAAGGAACATCGCTTTCACCTCACCCCAGTCTCACCATCTTGTATCTACCACATACTCAGGCTTACCGTATAGGTGGAACACCACATGCATATCATAAACCATTGCACATATCAGCTCAAAAGCATTTCAATATATCAAAGCATGTAACACAGCATGCATATAACCATTCCCCCATGGGGTATGGTGGAACTACACAATGGCTAAACTGAGGACACGAAAGCTTACCTTGTAAGCTAGTTATCCAAACCAAGAGTCCACACAGCTCAAGGCCCACAAACAGAACAATCACAATCTGCCCATACCATAATTACTCATCAATAATCATAGCTCAGATTACATTAAGTGATTAAGTCTTTCCTACTCATTTTAACTCATTACATGTTGTTTCTGCAGGAAGTATTCGAATACTTCACGAGTAGTATTCGAATACTCCAGCTCTCCAGAAAGTATTCGATTACTTTCATTAAAGTATTCGAAACTACCAAGTATCCGAATACTTTTTCCCCCAGTATCCGAATACTCAGTATTCGAATACCAAACCTCACTGTATTCGAATACTCTCCAGTATTCGAATACTTCTTCAAAGGTATCCGAATACTTTTCTTCCCAGAAAAGTATTCCAATACTCCTGCCATGAGTATTCGACTACCAGATAAAAAATACCATTGCAAATCTTTACCAAATACTCTAAGATTTTACTATGTTAAACTAGACATCTCAAGCTTTCCAACGACATATCTTATGCCTCAATCGGAGTTGTATAACTTCGGTTATGATTTTTACAAAGTTCCTACAACAAGCTGAATTTCCAACAATAGGGTCTCGATTTCAAACATACACTGAGAGAAATCCACTTATCCAATGGATCTGAAAATTTACAGGGTTGTAGCCCTATGTGTTATCTCCACATAGGTCCAAATCTCACTCAATTTAGAGCTCTGAAGCTCGAGATATCGCAATTTTACTAAACTAGGTCGCTGTTGTCTCGCGAAGTATTCGATTACTGCCTTTTTCCAGGAAGTATTCGAATACTTCTTCGACAGAATGCAGAAAAATGAGTTTTAAAGGTAAAATTGACCTCCAATGATCCAAACTCGATCTCGAGTCCAAGAACTCCTTAAACAGATGTTTATTAACATGTTATGAACCCAGAAACACCTTCCTTTTATCAAATGGTTCAAGTTACGATTTTTAATTGTTTAAACAAGCTTAAAACATCAAAATACACAAGGGTGATCATGGTATACCTTCCAATGCACCAAAACTCAGAAAATGAGGTAACTTGGAGCTCCAAACTAAGCTCCAAGGTTCTGACTTGGTTCAAACACGAAAGTGGCACACCAAGCTTGGTCCTTTAAGCCGAAAGATCACTTCTTGGCACCACAAATGATATGAACAAAGGTTTAACCCTCACAACTCAGAATCACAGCTCCTTAAGCCCCACAAATGCTGAACCTAAACTCAGAAAGAGGTTCCCTACTCACCACCAAGGCCAGCCCTTACTCACTCAAGTGTTTGGGAGAAGATTCAATGAAGAACAAGGAAGAAAAAGCCATTTGGCTCACAATGTGCAAGGTGACTAGCAATGAAACAGTACCAAAGGGCTGATCAGCCTCCAAGGGTCACGTAGGAATAGAATAACCTAGGGTTTTGAGCCCAAAAGTCATATATATAGCTCACTTAATATCAAACACACAGTATTAGCAAAAATAGCTACGCTTAGCATTTTAATCCCAAACTTAGGATTCTGAACCTACTCAATTTTATAATATTTATTATATTTTTCTTATATTTTTCGCAGCACCTTTTCGGTACGCGCTTTTCATAGCCAGTATCAGTTTCTGGCACCAGTTCTCATTATTTTAACCTGAAACTTGTTTTACAAGTCCTATATATTATTCTAGGAATTATCATGCACTTATTATAATTTTCCGGGATACTTTTTCGGTACGCATTTATACCGACTAGCAGAACCGGTATCTGCGCTTTTCGTCAGAAAAGCGACTTTCAACATTATTACTCACTTACTATAATTATTAAAGCCTCATAATAATTATTAGGGTCAATTATGAAATTATTTCCTAATTCTCATATTTAATTAATTAAATTCCTTAATTAACGGTGCGGGTTCTTACATTCACCCCACTTTTTTAGGATTTCCTAATTAAGTTCCTTATTTCCAAATTCTCATATACCTTGTCTGCCTGAAACATAGAGACTCGTAGGTATACTCTTGGGCATGTCCTAAGGACTTAGGGCTAGTGTGACAAGCTAAAGGAATTCATCAATCTCTGTGAGAGATTAGGTTATTCGCAGACTGGTGAAATCAGGATGATATTTATGGGACTCGGGAATCTATGCATAGTAAAGGAGTCATGAGATGGCCCGCACTTTAGAGTTCGTAAATGAAGATTCACTGTTTCGGCAAAAGCTAACTCTAGACCGCAGGGGTTGATACGTTTTCCTTGACCTAAGTCAATGGGACGAATAATCGAGATGAAAGGACAATTCAAACGGTAACCAATTAGGTAAAACAGGTTGATCATTCGATGAACTCAACTAGCTCTGCAACAACAAAGCATTGCTAGTGCTCTATGTTGTCATTAGATAGATTGGGCCTAATGGACCCAAGCCAATTTATGTCACTGGCTATGTTGGGCCTGATGGGTCGCACACAAACACCTTAAGTTGTCTTGAATTCTAGCATATGTGGTTTGGGCTCAATAAGGAAAATGGGCCTAAGTTGGATAAGCCCAAATATTGGGTCAAGAGAGAGTAGGTGGCATCATGGGTCAAGTTGAACTTGATCCATGATGTAACCTAATTAATTTAAATGTTAAATTATTAAAATTAATTTGAATTCTAATTTTGAATTTTGAATTTGAAATTTGAATTTATAAAAATAATTTGAATTCTAATTTTGAATTTTGAATTTAAAATTTGAATTTGAATTTAAATAAAATTAATTTTAATTTTAATTTTTAATTTTGAATTTGAAATTTAAATTTAAATATAGTCATTAAATTAGATTTAATGAAGATGGAGAAAATAAAAGAAACCAATCAATTAGATTGATTGACCAAAATTAAGGAAACCAATAAATTAGATTAATTGGCTGAAATTGGGAAAACCAATCAATTGGATTGATTGACCAAAATTAAGAAAATTAATTAATTAAATTAATTGGCTAAAATTTGGGAAATCAATCAATTAGATTGATGGGATAAAATTAAGGAAACCAATTAATTAAATTAATTGGCTGAAATTGGGGAAACCAATCAATT